TCGTTGATCTGATTGGTTTATTTGGCCCGTCTATCACCAACATAGGCCAATCAGCTAACCAGCATTTTCGCCCCTTCCCAAAATTACTTCAACGGAAGGTTTCCAGATGGATATGCGGAGCAAATCCATCTGGCGGAGTCAGGTTAGCTGGGACTGGGCCTGCCGGTGCAACTGCTAAAAGAGGCGGGAGGACAGTCAACTCACTATGGCTGCTCTCCGTTGTCATGGTTGCGGTACTAGTGTTCTTCACTGGTGGTGGTTTTTCAAAAAAAAAAATCTGAAATGCGTTTCTGTTCCATATTTCCTCCTCGTCTCTGTCATTAGACTACGTAAATGTACTATTCTGCTGCTGCAAGCAGGATACCTCTTGACTCGGCGACCACTAGCTTGCTTGACGTTGCCATGACAACGCAGCTTCTGTGAACTTGTGTAAATTAGGCTAATTGTGCAGAGTATTTTAAATACATTTAAAAAAATCTCAGTCTCGCCACTAGAGGGTGCTGCAGCACCCCCTGCACCCCAACTTCCTGCGGCCAGGTGATCGGCTGTTATTGTTCTGCATAGTTGACTCACCAGGGGTTCTGGTCGTATCCGTAGAAGAGCACACGGCTTCCCACTGCTGTCAAGAACCTCAAAGATCATGAACGCAGAGTTGATGTGTCGGCTTAGACCTTCTTCCAAATAGGCTTCTGCACGGACCCCCACCTCCAGGCTGTAAGGAACCATCCGATCTATTGTCATCAAACTTTCTTTAAAGGTCTCGTCCAGTTCAGCGTTTTAAGCCTTGGTACCTGTTTTTATAGGCATTGTTGACGATAGCCTTGAGCTGCAGCCGGTCTCCAACCTGAGAGGGTCCTCTGAAGTTGAACATGTCGATGGTCCGAAGAGTTGGATGAGCCTGACAGAAACGGCTGCATCGAAAAAGGAAGAATAAACAGAAAGATTACAGCAAGAAGAGAACAAGCCTCTTCTGGACTTTAACCTCTTACACCCTAAGGGGGTATAAATAAATTTCTGCCTGACAAAAAAACACAAAAGTAAATAACTTATAACCTCAAAGCTATTAGATTTAAGAAGAAACTTTTGGTACGTCTGTAAAGCTAAGATGTCATACAGGAAAAATTAGGGACAAAATACAAAATATTTTGCATTTTTTGAACCTCGCCAAAATTTTCTTTGAAATAAACATTGCAAAACACTACCAAAATATTATTTATAGCACAAAAAAGTAGTACA